TGCTAAAAGATTGCAAGTTAACTTGGATGGCACTAAAAATAGACCAAAAGGATTCAATGTACAGAGAGCCAGCTCTGGTAAAGTGCAGTCGGCTCTAGTGTATGGAAGTGCAAAGAGCCAGCTCTAGAAGTTGTAGCCGGCTCTACAGGTAAAAATTTGAAGACCGTTCTTTGGCGCGCGCGGAGAAAAGACGCAAAGTCGGCTTTGGCTTTGAAGCCGGCTGTGAAGGTGCATTTAATGCGCAACGGTCGAGTCATTTGAAGATTATTTAATGTATTTAAAGTCGGAGTTGCAAAGCCGGCTCAAATTTTGCAGCCGGCTCTCGAGAAAAACAGAATGTGCTGCAAACCCGGATAGCTGGCTCTGAAAGTGTAAGCCGGCTCTATAAAGTTAAGCCGGCTCTCTTGACAATTCTACAGCTCGAGGTTTGCGTCCTGCAGAGCATTTAATGATCCCCAACGGCTAGAAACGGCTATTTTCGAGCAAGGGGTTATAAATATGGTTGGTAACAGATGTGAAGAAGTTTAGAGAACATTGCATTGAATATCTTTACCTACCTACTTGAGCTTTAACTTGAGTTTTAGATCTTTGAGTGACCATTGCTTGTAATTCTCTTCTTGTGCTTTTAGTGAGTGATCTTGGGGGTGTGTTGATTCCTTCAAGAGTGATCTATTGAGAGGATTTGTGGGGTTTACATTGTAAAGGGGTGAGATTTGAGAGAAATTCTCATCTTGTTGTAAAAGGATTGAGTGGCTCCTTTAAGCCACCCTTGTCTTTCTTAGTGAAGAGTGTGGAGGAAATCCTTGGTGAGTGAAGCCAAGGTAGAGGATTAGGCTCCAAGTGGTTGGACCGAACCTCTATAAATTCATTGTGCAAGCTCTTCTTCTCTACTCTCTTTAATCTCGTTTTTGTGGTTGAAAAAGGGAAGAGTTTTTGGAACTCCAATTCACCCCCCTCTTGGAGTACTTTGAGTCAACATATTGTTCATTCATGCAAGTTCCCAATAATCTTCCCACAAAATAAGCAAGGCAACACCAATACCACAATTGTTAGTTATTTAATAATAAAATTCACACAAATTTCAAGCATAGTAATGAAACCCACTTCTAACTCTATACTGTACATATACCCAAAAATTCAAATATTTCTAAATAAAAGTATAATACCCAAAATCTCTTAAACAAAAGACTTGGAGTCAAATTTCCCTAATTTAAACTAATTTTTAGTATATTATAGTAAATCTATAATTTACTCAAAACTCTAAACCTAAACCCATAACTAAAACTTATATTTACGTGGAAATCAAAGCACTAAACTGAGACAAAACAGCAAAAATGGCAAAGAACTTTACTGGAGAGTGCGTCTTCACATGTCCTTAGCATAACACCTGGTGGGAAGAAGAAAGAAAGATGCAAGGGATCGACTAGAAGAAGAAAGATGCAGAGAAACTGGTGGGTTTGAGAGGCTTAAGGCAAACAATGGGTTTTATTATTTTTTCTTGTAAAATATTCTAGAAGAAGCTTAGGTGCTCCACAAAACCTTCCTAATTCAAGACAAGACACTTGGTTGTCATGTTGCCACATGTATTAAAATTTGGCTAATTTAGTTAGATAGTCTCTAACTATGTCAAAATTTCACATAAGGTCCACATAGTCTAATTCTAATCAATTTAGTCCCTAAAATGTTAAAATAAAATACTCTAATTTCTAATATATTCATTAAAGTATATGGGGTGTTACATTACCCATCAAAATACTTTCAAAGCACAAAGTATTCACAAAAATGGCACAAAATCAAACTCATTTTTAAATAAACAGATAAAAAGAAGAGGGAGAAAGGAAGAGAGTAGAGGTCTACCCTTTTCCTATTTACTAAACTCCTTTGGTTTTTGTTGTATCTATAATTTTAATGATTACAAAACACATACTCAAGTTAATAATGTGTTTACCTAAGTGTGTAATTTATGCATTGAAAGATAGAAAAAGTGAATGGAATTGGATAGCATTGAAAGAACAAAAATGTTGAACATGGTGCAAAGGGCTAGCTTAATTTTTCGACAGCTGGCTTTGGTTATAAAAAAATGCAAAAAGTCAACTATAGAATCTGCAACTAGCTCTTTTGTTTCAAGTTCAAACCTACAACTTGGAGTATGTGGGAAATGAATGCAAAGTCAGCTTTAATTTTACGACCAACTGTGATGGAACACTTAATGCCTAACGATTGAAATTTTCAAAGTTATTTTAATATTTCAGATTTAAAGTTCTTATGTTAACTTTGAGAATTGTAGCTAGCTCAAAAGAAAATAGAATGTTTTGCTAATTCAGGATAGCCAACTCTCATGTTGATAGTGAGTTATGCAGTGTTGGCTATGGAAATGCAGTTGCCTTAAAGGGAAAATCTATAGCTTATTTTCTTAAACTATTATTGACCTATTATGCATTAAATGAACCATAATAGTTGGAAACAACTATTTTCATTTATGATTGGTAGAAGTCTTGAAGACACACTTAGACACTTGATTGAATATCTTTTATCTACCAATTTTGAGTTTCTTGTGCTTTGACTTGTAAATTTGATCTTTGAGAGATCTTTACTTGTGATGCTTTACTTTTTTTTTTCTTTGAGAGACATCTTGGGTGTGCTTATTTTCTTCAAGAGTGATTTGTAGTGAGATTTGTTGGGTTTGCATTGTAAAGGGATGAGATTTGTGAGAATCCCTTTTTCTTGTAAAAGGATTGAGTGACTTTTTTATGTTACTCTTTGTTCATTCTACTAGAGAGTGAGGAGGAATTCCTTGGTGAGTCAAGCCAAGGTAGAGAATTTGGTATCAAGTGGCCAGATCAAACCTTTATAAGAATCATTGTGTAAACTTTTCTTCCATTTCTTTGTTTTTCATTTTGTAGTTGCAAAAGGAAGGAAACATTTTGAAGCTCCAATTCACCACTTCTTGGATCATCTGAGCCAATAATTTTTAATGATAAAATGACATTAGTGATCTCTTAACTTTCAATTCTTATGCAGTTTGATTCTCAAACTTTAGATTTACCAATTTGGTCCTTGATTTTAACTTTTCTTATTTGCTATTTAATCCCTACATTTAAAAGAGTTGCAATTATGTCTCAAAGTTTCTAATCTCATTTATTCCAGTCCTTTTTTTTGCACAAATAATAAAAATCATATGAAATCTAATAAATTCAAAATCATCTCATCCAAATCTTAATAAAATTATGGTTAAAATATATAAAATTTATTTAATCAAAGTGAAAAATCAAGTCTTTGATGCTTAATTTGGGATTCTTAAAAATAAAGAAGGACATTTAGCTTTCTACATACCCACAATTTAAATCAGAAAAAAAAAGGAACAACATTGTGATAAAAGGGGTAAATAATAGATATTTTCTTGCTCTTCCTTGTTATACATTCATAGTTATAAGACAATTCCCAAAGTTATCATGAGTCCATGATATTTGCATGACTACATTTGTTTGACACTCACAAGTCATATTTGCATCTTCCGCAAGTTTATTACTTTGGTTATAATACTTCAAAGGATTCCAAGTTAAGTATCAAGGACCTCTTTTTGGAATAAGTGAGTATCAAAGACTTGAATTTGCACTTTAATAGTATAAATTTTTACTATTTTGGGCTTGATTTTATTGATATTTAATAAGTTAAATACTTGAATGTAATTTTATTTGAAGTTACATGATTTTTATTGTTTGTGCAAAAAAAATCAAAATCCATGAAATTATAAAGGTTAAAACCCCATTTTGGTCCCTGAACTATTGTACGGACCCCTGATTTGGTCCCTAAACTCAAAAAAATCCCTGATTTGGTCCTTACTGTTTACCATTTTTACCCCAATTTGGTCCTTTCGTTAAAAATCTACCCACTTGTCCATTGACTAACAGAAATCTCATGTACACGTTAAAACATTTGTCCATGTGGAAAGCCAGGTAGCAAAAAAATAATGATTTGACAATAAAAATTTTAAAAATTCTTTCTCCTTCATCTTTCCCTTTTTCTTTCCTCTTCCTTTGCTCACCTTCTTCATCCATCAATTCTGCTTCTTCATCAATTAGTTCATCAGCATCAAACAACACCCACAAAAACACAAAAATTTTGAATTCTTCTTCATCAATTAGTTCATCATCATCATCAAACAACACTCTCATCAAACCACACTCACAAAAACACAGAATTTTTTTTTTAATTTTTTGTTGAAGAACCCAATGCCTGGGTTTGACAAACTCGGCGTTGGGTTCATCGGGTTCCAAGGAACCCCGAGCTTGGGTTCGATGAACCCAGCGTTGGGTTCCAAGGAACCTAGGGCCTGGGTTTGTCTAAACCCAAAGCGAGTTTTAAGAAACCTCGAGCCTGGGTTCGATGAACCCAGCGTCGGGTTCCAAGGAACCCTAAGGGGAAAGAAAAAGGAAGGAGAAGAAAAAAAAAAGAAAAAGAAAGAATTTTTTAAGTTTTTTTGTTATATTATTATTTGTTTCCATGTCATTATTGTTTGCTGTGTTATCTTCCACATATGATAATATTTTGACATGTTATCATTTTATTGTAAATTAACGGTACACGTCATGTAATTTTTAACAGAAAGACCAACTCGGGGTAAAAATGGTAAATAGTAGGGACTAAATTAGGAATTTTTTAGTTTAGGGACTCAATTGGAGATCTGTACAATAGTTCAAGGACCAAATGGGGTTTTAACCAATTATAAACTTTGGATTTCAATGCATCTCTTTTAAAAGTTTTTGAACTAAATTACAATAAAAAAAAGTAGAAATCAAGGACCAAATGGAGTATATCTATAGTTTGAGGATCAAAGTGCCCACGCACAAAAACTAAAGGTATTTTACCACTAAAATTAAGAGATTTTTAACATGTGTTCATGAAATTTTCAAAGCAGAGGGATGAAAATGACTTCTTCTACAAATTTAGGGACTTTTAGTTGCGTTGAGCCTATAAAATAGGAGCTGAGAATTGAGATGAGAAATGAAGCGATGTGGATGATCAGTGGACACAACTCAACTTCTATATTGCAAGTTTGCGACACGGATATTTTCTCCGAAGTGAAATGTTTTCGTAGTCCTGCTCTCAACCCTCCAGCATACCCAGGACGCGACGATGGCCATACTTAACTACATATCAGCAACCTCAACATCTCCTCCAGCTCGCCAAGATCCTTCAGCAACTCCCTCACAGCCAATACCAAATCCAAGACAGACAAAGATTATTTTACCCAAGCAGAAGCCGTTGAATGGGTCCGTAACTGTGGCTCCGGGGGACTCTGGTGGCACACCAACCATCTCCAAGGCCCGCAGGTGGTGGGGAAAAGATGAGGACCCCTTAACATCTGATGAGTTCATTTGGAACAGGGACTTCATGGATAGAATGAAGAAGCTTGTTGAAGACCCTGATTCGTCGAAGTTGTCTCCTGAACCCTCCATTGTTGAGGTTTAGTGGCCACACTTCTTTTAAAGTCCTTTTTATATCTATATTGATTATCAGTATTTCTTTCGGTGTGTTGTAGTTTGATTGTTCAATTTTATGTTCAGAGGCATGAGTGTTCTTATATTGATTGTTTATATGCTGAGGGAAGTTTAAAGGGTGTTGGTTTGTTAACTTTATTTTAATAGCTAATTTGTTCTTTTTATTGAACAGTTTATTCCTCCCTTTTATGCCTCTTTTATTGTTGACTTTATTTTGTTATACGGTCAAATGTTTTGTTATAGGTAATTTTTGGCTGTTAAGTGCATACCATCTTCCCTCGCCGAGTGATGGTTTTATGTTTATTTTACTTTGTACGAACAACTTGGTTTTGTTCAACAGGAACTTGAAGAGCCTGGTTTTCTGAGCTTAAACAGAGTTATGCGCCTTGACAGGTTTGTTGACTACTCATAAGTCTTAACTATAGTTCCAGTTATTTCACATGGGGCTATTTATTCTATTTTGAGCACTAATATTTGTTTAAGATGTGGGTAACAAACAGTTTAGAAGTGGATTTGAGCAAAGAACTCACTTCACCCTCAAAGCTCGTTTTAGAGCAGTCCATTGGTGTTGCTACTCAAGTATGAAGAACTTATTTGCTCTTTTTTAATGACTTGTTGATCTCATGGTATTCAGTGCTGACATAATTTTTTATATGTTTTATGGTAATGAAATGTTCATCAGACCCGTGGGACTATGTCTCAGAAATGGAAATCTGTACCGATACAGGGTGAGAAGGAAAAGTGGGATAGAGCAAGTATGGCTTCAACTGGTGGGACTGTAAGTTATTTTCATCTTCTTGCATGCTCGTCTTAATTAACTACTGTAGTTACATTATAAGTCATGCAAGGCTAGCTGGTTAGATTATTGTTATTCTTTTATCCTTATGGGAAAATTTTCTTTGATTTTTGTCCTCTGCTAGAAACAGAAGCTTCCAATTATGTCTCTTCTGTCACTATAATTTGGAAAGATACCTTCTCTTTTCATTTGCTGATATCATTTTAGTTCTGCATCTAGAATGCGATGTTATGGGAAATTAGCCAACCTAAAGGAGACCCTGAAGAGTTGGCTGCCCAATCAAGAGAGCAGTACTTTAAGGTACTACTTTGTAGTATCAAGCTAAATAGCTAATTTCATTATTGCACTCATTATATTCTTCCCTTATTTGATTCTAGGCCTTTAGCTGCAGAGAATTTGTAAGTTTTTCTCTTCTTTTCACTACCTTTGGAATTTTCCGTTGCAGTTAAAAAAGAAGTTGCAAATTTTAACACTCGGTATAGGTGGTGCTGGTTTGGTCTCAGCTTATGTTTCATACTCCCCTGAAGTTGCAGCAAGGTTAGTGAATGCTAATATTGTTATGGTAATGAATATAATTCATCTTTCTCCCAGTCTCCTTTTTTTTTTCAGGTTTGTATAAATTTTTGTTGATAATTTGTTGATTGTTGTAGCTTCAATTTTAATTATAATTGTGTGCATCCTCCTTTAATTTTTGCTGTGCAGCATTTATGTTTTAATAGTCAAGCATCATACATACAAGGAATCAGACATCTAATAAATTTAGTGTGTTAACTGTGTGCAGAAGCTTCAGGGTATCTGCATTTTTTTTTATTAGGCATCACTTTAGAACTTGACTATTTGTAATTGAGACTTCTGTTTATGAATGGTTTGATTGTGGTTTTTCTTTACTTAATTGATGCTAAGATGATGTGTGTAGATTCAAATCTTGCACCTTGGTAGACAATTGTGATTTTAGAAATTTTGTTTTAACCCATAGGTTAGCCCTTAGAATCTGCCCATGCATTGTGTTGTAGTTTTCTTTGTGCATCATAAGCTTTATACTATGAATAATTGTTGTGTTAATTTTAGATCTATATTAAAGGATATTTGTTGACAATTTAGTGACTTATTCATGAATGAATACTCTATATCCTTTAGAAAGGTTGCTATATAGAACAAGTTAAGGGCTAAGATGAGTATTTGAAATTGATGATCTCATGAATGAAAACTCAACATGTTAAAAGAAAATATCTACACGACATCTGATACCAATTTTATGTAAACACAGCTTTGGTGCCGGGCTGCTTGGTTCTTTGGTGTATATGCGTATGCTGGGCAATAGTGTGGATGCCATAGCAAATAAAAAAAAGCGTCTTATGAGGTAAGAATTAGTTGTCATTTGCTGAGATGTTTACTTTTGATATTCTAGGAATCTTTCTTAACTACCCCTTGAAAAGTGTGACGAAAATAACAAAAAAAGGAATAAAAGAAAAAAATAAAGAGGAAAGAAAACTTTGAAGAGCATTATGTTATGAGTATATATAGTGTTATTATTAATTTTCAATTTCTATTAAAATTAGGTATTTTTTGGAATCAATTTAGTATTTTAAAGTCTTTTGTTAAAGTTATTAGTCGATATAGTCACATCTTTCTCAGTGTGTCACTAATCAATTTTCTACTAATGTTTGCATTTGGGCTCTTAGTTAACATGCCCCTACCTTCACATTTGTAATGTCTCAAAAAAAAAAAAAAAAGAACAGTTTCCACCACTGTTTGAATTTAATTATCCTGTGAATCTTTCTTTATTGCATCGAAGTTTCTTATAATTTGATATTTGGTCAAATCTTATAAGCTAGTTAAATTGGTAAACTAATGCTAATCTCACAGATTATTATTATTATTATTTGTATTGGCAATCCCACGGAGAAAAATAAACCAATAAGCGTTGTACTTTCTTTTACCATCTTGTAATTCTCATATTCCTAAGTTCCAAATGTCCATATTAGATCATTTGTTAATGAAAAATGTCTCAAAGTGGTATTGAAGAAAATTTTCTTTTTCATTTCTTAGCATTTCCCAACCTGCTTTTTAGGTTGTTGGGATGTATTTGGGTTCTGAAACAAGAAAAATAATAGTTAAAAATTTATTGTTGGAAGCAAATAATAAAATATTGAAAGAACATTTTGCTCTTGATAAGCTTCATTGAATAATGATAATATCATCAAGCAATTTGCTAGTTGTCTATTTGATCTCTGAATAAATTATTTACTTTCTTTAAGGTTGTAACAAAGTAAGAAACAAAAAGAGAGAAAAAAATGAAACCTTGCACACCATGTAAAGGAGGCCACATGGAATTCTAAATCCTATTGTTAAAGCCATGTTTTCTGGCAACCAAGTGAAAATTGTTGGTATTTTGAGAATGCTAAAACCAACTATCTACCCAAAACCCAATTTCAAAAGTAATGTAAATGGCTACACTTGGCTATAGGCAATCACTTCCCTAAATTTAAAGAATAAAAAAAAAAAAAAAAAGAAGAAGGAAAAAGCTCTGCAATGATGGTAAGTGAATTGAAATCTTGCACGTAAAATGAAAAACTATTAAGGAATGAGAATATATGGAGCACTCAATAAAACTATTAAGATTGAGTCAATAACGATTCAATTTACTCATTGGTTTTATTTTGTTTCAATGGGGAATCCATTTTGATCAAAATTGAATTATGCTAAGTAAATCCTAAAAATACATTAATATTACAAAATGATAGAAACATAACAAGAATAATCCTTTTCCAAAACTTCCTATAAAAATGGCCCTCAAAACAGAATGAAATTTGCAAAATGCCTCTCAAACTCAGAAATTTCTTCTTCTCTCACATGGGTATGCCATTTGCCATTTACAAATTTGCCCCCCAAAGTCAAAAATTTATTCTCCTCTCATAAAGGTATGCCTTTTGTCACTTACAAAAATGCTTCCAAAGGTCAAAAAAATTTCTTGTCCTCTCACATAGACATGCCATTCCTCATTATTAGAGAATAAGGTGAGAGCAAGGAAGAGGAAAGGAGTGATAAGAGAGATAGGAAAGAGTAGGGACTCAAAATTCTTATATTTAGATTTTATCATCTCTGCTCTTTCAATATGTTCAAGAAAGTATCATTGGAGTTGGCTTAGGTGGTTAAGAAGTGATTTGAATTTTGCTGAGAATTTAGGTTCAAAATCCTCCAATGCCATTTGGGTGCAAACAATTCCAATGAAACCACGTAACAACCTTTGAAGGTTGAGCCTTAGCTGCTACTTTTGGATCAGGTGGTTTGTAAGTACACTGGGATTAATTGGGCGTAAGGTCCAGATATGCATGTTATCCAAAATAGAAAGTCAACCGGTTGTCAGAAAAAAATGTAATCTGTAATTTTATTTTTATATTATTTTTCAAGTGAGAGGCTTTATGAGGTAAATCTTGAAAACTTCTCGAGATACAGATTCATTCTTAACTAAGACCACATATTTCTACTTTCTAGCAAAATGTAGCATAAATAAAAGAGATCTAAACCTTGTTATGATATTGGTGCAGAAAGGGACTAAATCTTCTACGAGAGATTGGGACGCCATAATTATCATAAATATAGTTGGAAGTGACATAATTGGGCTCAAATGGATTTTATTTTGTTGTACTTACTAGGGAAGAAATAATTCTATAAGACCTTTAATGGGGTGAAAATCAGATTTTGAGAGCCTGAATTGTTGTACAATTTCATGTGAGCTACCCAATGCAGTTGACCATGTCAAACTATTAAAAAATTTGTAATTTGATTTTGGGTTGCAGAATTGGGAGGCAACCCTTTCCCATCCCTTCACCTATCCCTCACCCACCCCACTCCACCTGCATACCATAGGACTTGAATGTAGGACCTCTTGCTCTCACTGGAAAAGAGGAAGTTGCCATTGAGCTGCTTAGGTCATTGGCAATATGCTTGTCTCCTAAATAAACAGCATCTCATAAAAAGGTTATTCTTATATCAGTTATCAAGCTGATCATGATAGAACATCGATATGACTTTCCTCTTGTGAATATTGATTTTATAACATTCTTAGTCTAAAGATGACTGTGCTTACTTAATATAGCTCACTAAAGCTCTTTCTTGCAGGGGAGGAATTGCACAACCAAGACTCCTAGTCCCTGTTCTTTTGGTCATGGTCTTCAACCGTTGGAATGAGTGAGCATTATAGCCTGCTATTCATTGTTTCCATTGGTTTTCCATTACCTTAAACGCTCCTGTTCTAAAGCCATATCACTTTTGAATTTTTAATATTTCTATGTTACCTTTTTATTGATTTCTGGTGACTATATATCTTTCATATCTTCAATATTTCTGTCTGTTTGTAATAGTCTGATGTTTTCTGGTGCAATTTTGGATTCTGCCTAGAAGCATTTGAGGTGGTCCTGTTCTATTACTTAAATGTTTCTGAGTACTAATGAGTGGATTTTTAATGGCAAGGATGTCAGGATGGAATTTTGACAGCTCATTCATTTGGGTTGTGGTACTTTTTACATTTCATTTTATTAGTGTCAAATCATTGTTTTTCATAGACCACTTGATTGAGAGATTGCTTCTCCTGCCATATTTAATTGGCATTACTAACTACTTCTCTTCTAATGATTATTTTGTTGATATTAAAACTTTTACTGAAGTTCCTTCACGTTGTTATATGATGCTCTCATTGTCTTCCACTTGTGCATTTTTATCATCTCTTGATTAAAACTTATTTTGTAGCCATGCAAGAGTTAGTTCAGGGTGCAAATAAGTTCCAGCAGAACCAAGTTTTCTCAAAATTAATCTCAGCTCATTGGATATATAGTTCGAGTCTTAAATGCAAATTTAAAGTTAGCTCAACAAATTTCTAAAGCTCAGACATTTGTGTTATTGTTTGATTTGTTTTTAAGGCTATTGAAGCTCAAGTGCAATCTTTGACGAGCTTAGAGCTTTGAATACTTGGAGATTCCCATTTGTTTGATAAGAAATACTTGAAGATTTAGATATTAGCATTTGCCTCAAAATTTTGACAAAGAGAATAAAGTTGATCTGATACCCCATCAAGCAGACAAGCCAAGGTTCTCCAGTCTGGAGCTTAATCCAGCTACTAAAATAACCATTTGTGGCAACAGCTCATTCCTTTACAACCAAGCTCAGGATAAACCTGCAGCCTGGTTCAGTGTTTTAGTAGCCTCATTTAGAAGTCTTGTTTTCAAGCTAATATTTATCTGTCTGGTGCAGGATTCTTGTTCCACAATACGGTCTTCTGCACTTGGAATTGATTCCAATGTTGGTTGGATTTTTTACATACAAAATTGCCACTTTCCTTCAAGCTGTAGAGGAGGCCATTGCTATAGTTGGGAGAAAAACCCAGGTTTAACAGGAAATTCTATGCAAGCATAAGAGGGATCCTGAATAGCTCCATCTCTTGCAGCTCCCACAGGTACTTTCTTTTTTTCTTTTTTATTTATTTTTTCATCTGCAAAGCTGCTAAGCACACATCATACATCTCTGGTTAAGGTGTCCTGCCCCCTCTCTCCCCTCACCTTGCAAAAATCTTGCCTGACTTGCCTTTGTTCTCTAATAATTTTTGAAAATTTAAGAATGTAACTTAGAGTCATTGAATATTTGGTAAAGTGCAAATATATTCAAGGATGCATAATATAGGGTGTGTTTGGTTAAAGGCAAACTTTCATGGGAAAGTTTTAACTTGGTAAGTGATTGAAAAAATACTTTATGGAAAGTTAAAAAGTACTGTATGAAAAGTTGCTGAGTTTTGTAATGAAATTTTGTCGGAATGTTAACTTTGTTGTGTTTGGTAAGAAATTGATATAGGGAAAGTACAAGGAAAGTTGTTAATTGGGTCTCATATGGGGAAAGTTGTATGAAAAAGTGGGAAGAAAAGTTTATGGGTTGAGAATTGTGTTAGGAAAAATAAAAGCTTAAAATCTCACTTTTGCCCTTCATTTGTTATGGTTTTGATATAAGTACTAAAATGCCTTTCCAAAGTCCTAGAAGGTGATGTTTCTCGAGAAATTTAACCAAGCACACCCATAACTGACCAGAATTTTCCTCTCTTTGGAAATTAAAATTAAAATTACAGTGTGTGATATGTGGTATATTATTGCCATGATTTACATTTCTCTAAATGTCATTAGTTACCTGCATCTATTAGTTCTGTAAGGGAATACAGCTGATCACGAATTACTAGTAGCTTGACTCAATTAAAGCTCGGTTTGGCTCATTCACTAAACTTAATAAATGAGCTTAATCCTAAGTTTTAGGCTCTTTTATTAAACAAGCTGAGCTTGGCTTAAGGGTGTTTGGTTCGTTTAGCTGGGGAGCCTTCATGAACAAGGTTCAATGAAGACTTATTTATTATTTTTATTTACGTTTGTTTGTTAAACTTTCAATTGAGGTCAAGCCAACAGAAAGCTTTCAATTGGGCCAGTGGATTGAAACTTCTTGACATGCTATTATTATATTAGGCAAGTCTCCTCAAACATGTTTAGGGCTCCTCAAACATGTTTAGTCTAAGTAATTAACATTAAAAGAAATAAATTAAAAGATAAATTAGAAGCATGAGCTAATCAACCCCGAGCTTGAGCTTAAAATTGTTTAGCTAAATGAGTTGCTTGCAAACATGAGCTTGAGCATTAAATTATTATTATTATTATGATCATCATGATGATCGTCATCATAGATTTATTGGTAAATTAATATTACATTAGGTAAGCCTATGATAAGCGTCATATAAGCGAAAGAAACTAGAGATTTCACAGCAAACCATAATTCCTAGTTAGACCCACAAAGGGTTTTGAAGTTATACCTACAGTAATAGGTAATAAAAGCACGTTAACAATCTAAGCAATTATGAACAAGAACCTAAAACTAGTATATTACAGAAGTAACCCCTGTAAGGGTTCGAACCAGTGCTACAGAGTAAAAATACAACCACTTTGGCTGTCTTGGAAGTTTCTGTTAACACAAACTTTATAAAAAATATCAAGAAAATCTAGGCAGGGATCCCCAAAAGTGAGAAACAGACTCTCTTTTAGAGAGAAACCTTCAAAGAGAAGGAGAAATTCCCACTTTTGTTCATCCTCCTTAGCTTGCATCGGATTGGGGGAAAAGAAGTAAAAGAGAGGGCGGTGCTATGAGAGAAGGAAGAAGAGAGGCGCTAGGTTTTGGTTTGGTTCATGACCCACCCGTTACCTTTTTTTTTTTTTAATTTTATTTTGTATCTTCATTTTGATGTAAGCTGTCGACTTAATGAATTCAAAATATTCTATGGCTTGGTAGTAAAATTAGAACCAAATCTTCATTATTTTTTGATCTCTGTAGGGCTATCTGAAGGGAATAAAAGTACTGGAGGCAGACATCTTTGTAGAAAATTGCTGCATTTTCTTGTGATGTGCGATGGCACTGCTTCCTCATATGAAAAGAATTTCATCTGAGTATAAATTTTCTTATATCTCTTTGACCGTTTGGTACAATGAACATAGGTTTACAAAACCTAAACGACTTGAAGATTTGTGATTCAGATATTTGGAAAGATATGTAAATCTCTTATAAATGCATAGCTTATTGTAGGTATTTTGTGTTGTATTTTCGGAAGATAAGTGTGTGGTATATTCAAAAGCTCATCAACTTGAAGATTTGTTATTCAAATTTTTTTGTATCTCTTTAACATAAATCCCTGTTTTGAAACAAAAAAAAAAAAAAGAAGCCAAAATTTAAAAAATTAGGGACCAAAGAAGGAATATATTTAGTTTAAGGACTATATAAACAGACTGTATCAAAGTTAAGGGACCAAAATTGAAGGTTTAACCAATTTACAGTAATTAAAAATACATTTTTTATTCATTAACTCGCTCGTCTTCGCCTTTATTGAATTTAAGCAACTTTTATTTTCCTTTTTCTCCCTTTACTTTGTCCTGCTCATCGTAGGGAATCTTTCTAGGACTTATTCACTTTGGCTCTTTTCTCACTGGACTGTTCATTTTGTGCAAGAACATGGAATTAACAAGTACTGACTCTCATTACTTGTTCCATTTTAATTTTAATTGTCAACGTGTTTTTAGATAATCTTTCATATACCATATGAACGATAATCTCAGAGTATCTATTTAGTAATTTTATTTTATAAAAAAAATTCAATTGCAATTTATATACTATAAAAATAGATTATCTAAAAGTATTTAAAGGTATGTCTAAAGTTAAAATGGGACAAATAAAAATGTAACGAAAGAAGTAACAACAGGAGTATGAACGACATTGAAAAGAAAGCATGATGATGTACAATCTTTTGGAGTTCCCTCTTTTCTACGGAGTGGTTTAAGGAACTTGGAAAACATAATCCAAGGGGAAAATTTAGTAAGTGGAGCAATCAATTCTAGATTTAGTAAAAAGGATTTTGATGGAAAAGCTCCTCTTTCCATGTTTAAAAGAGTTGCGAGTTGAGCATTTGCCTTAGTAGGTATCTTTAGGAACTCCAAAAAGCCCTCAATTTAAACTTATGTACTTGCAAAAGTAAACAGTACAATGAGAAAAGAGCCAGAGTGAAAATCATAGGTTCACTATTATAAGCAGGACAAGCATAAATATAGAAAAAGAAAAATAAAGTTACTTTAATCTATGTCTTCATTGGTCTATAAAACTATAAATGCAGAAAGACAAGAAAAAAAAAATTATTCTTTATTCTTATAGTACACAATAACTAGATCTAAGTAAATCTGCTTCGATTTTAGTGTGGCAGTGGATCAAGGGTTGGGATAGCTAGACTTGTTTTAAATCATGCTTAAACATATTGAGGGACTGAATGGCAATCTCGTAAAAATACTAATTAAAGCTTGAATTTGAATATTTTATGGGCTAAATAAAAGGCCAAATTCCCTTATTTACTCTAAACATTTTTTCCTTTTTTATGGTCAATATTCTAAATTAAATTTATTTTTATTTAACACGTTTCATAATTTATAACTCAAAAAATTAAAAATTAACATATATATAGGTGACGTTAATTTCCGTTACTCCTTGAACGCGTGGCACAATATCAATGAAGTGGCTATCCCATGGTAAAAATTTCAATAACGTGGCAAGATGTGGCGTCAACGTAATCAGTGGATCCACATGTTGCGGGACATTTCTTGCTTGTCTAATGAAGAAGAAAAAAAAAAAGAGAAAAGGAAAAGAAATTCAGATGGACCAAAACTAAAACACCCTAATCTCCACAAAATCAACATAATCCACTGATCTTTCCTTAAAACATAATCCACCGATTAGAATCTCTGTCAAAAAGGGAAGAAAGCGATATTGAAAAGCAAAGATGATTGAAGCAGAATGAGCTTCCCTCCCCCAGCCCTCATCTCCGATCACTGTCTCTTGCCTTCAATCATCATCATCATGGCTTCGTACTTGTATCTGTTAACCGTCTTCATCCTCTCAACACAGGTTACAAGTAGTAACTTTTTGCATTTCAATTTTTCTTTTGATTTAAACTTCAAAGGTTAACTTTAATCCTAAATCGAACGGCCGCCATATTTATAGTTTCATCTGAGCTAGTCCTCGCTACGAGGTAAACACGGTGATCGACGACTACAAACTAAAAATCAACCCTCACACCTGTGATATATTGTCAGATCTGATAGCGCTGGATTCTTCCAATAGTGGTACCGATCGCCGTACAAAATTTCTCAATTTTTTTTTATCTGCTTTGATGTTTGCAAATGCAGAGAGAATAGCAAAAAGGTTATCAGGAGATGAAGTTGCGTGTCATTCGAATGGGGAGCCATTTCATGCCGGATTTAACAAACTAAAACGCTTAACCGTCTATGTTAAGGACAACGTCTACGTTGCCAATGAGAACAATCAGGCCATAAGAAAGATCACCGTCTCAGGTTCTAAATTAATGATTAACACTATTAATGATTGAAATTTTCTTAGATAAATTTTTCTTCAAATTATGAATTTAATATGTTGTTTTTGCACTAAATTCTGTAACATTTTAGGTAAGGTGAGACCATTTCCGGAAGTTGCTTAAACAAAACTGGTTGCCGGGTTTATCTTTTTCCTTTTTTTCGTTAACGTTGTCAGACATGGGAACAAGAAGAAAAGTTGTGCCAGTTATGGGAACAAGAAGAAAAGTTGTGCCAGTTGTGGACCCCACTGCATAGGTGGCAGCCATGTCATTAAAAACTTCATACCTTCATATTTTATCCTTAAAACAAAGGAAATGTTATTGAGATAATTTTTTTGTTTTATTTTTTTTACAATTTGATATGTTATTAAAATTATTGGTTCTTTTAATTCATGTGGAATATGTCATATTAAATGTATTCACTCATTTAGATACGTGAAAATTATAAAAAAAAATAAAACAAAAAAGTTGTTTCTATAACCCCACCTTAAAACAATATCCACATCAGCATCTGGTGCCACGCAATGGGTCAACTGATGGAGTTAAACATGCCCGTGACCTAACTATTGAGTTCTTCCCGATTAGAAATTACTGCAAGTGTGGCGGCTAACTTTTCCTTCTCGGAGGAGGACGATCATACGGCTTGGTTCTAGGAAACTCTGAGGCGTTTGATGAGGTAGTGGTGACTGGATGTTTTGGGGGTGTGGCTGCAATTGGCCTGATGTGGAAATCGTTGGATGCGATTACGCTTGATTGTTCCATGGGCTGCTGGGCATGGCAGACGTTTAGTGTCAAGGCTTCGGATATATGCTTTCCCAGTGGTGCTATGCGTGGAAGAAGGTGGACCATGAATGGGAGGCTCTGGTGCGGTTCGGGCGGTCGTTGGCCGGATTTTCCCTTCCTTAAATTTAGTGATGGGTTTGCGGACATTGATGGAGGTCATCGTCTGGTAGAGATAGTTGAACGGTGGCTGGCAATGGGTGGCGCGATGGTGGTGCTGCTGCAATTTCGAATGGTTCAAATCTGTTCGAACTTTTTGGCAGAAAAGCAGGAGTTTAATTAGGCTAATAATTGTATGTTTGAGAGAAACTAGAAAGTAAGGAGATAAATATATATATATTTTT